GCTGCTGCTGCTGCTGCGTTTGCTGCTGCAGCTGCTGCTTCTTCTTTAGTGTTGCTGGAGGGGGGTGAGGAGGGGTATGAAGATGTATATATTTAGGGTTTATAATAATGTATTAAGGGTGTATTAGCAGAAGAAGACGATGCAGCAGCAGCAGCAGCAGCAGGAGGAGCAACAACAGCAGCAGCAGCAGCGGCAGCGGTATTAGTAGTAGTAGTCTTATTAAATAGTTGTTGCTGTTATTCTTATTATTTGTCTTTGTTATATATTTTGCTGCTTCTGTTTGCTTCTATATTTGTTTATTTAACTTTATTTTATTGAATGCTATAATCTATGTCTCTTCCGTTCGCTGCTCTACGCAGCTGTGCTGGGGAGGGCGGACCCGATGGCCGCAGCAGCTTATGTGCTGCTGCTGCTGCAGCAGCAGGATCATCAGCAGCAGCAGCAGGAGCAGCAGCAGCAGCAGCAGGAGGAGCAGCAGCAGGGATTGCAGGAGTAGTAGGAGGAAGCTCTTCTTCTTCCGCTACCTCAGCAGCAGCAGCAGCAGCAGCGACAGCGACATCATCATCATCAGCAGCAACATCAGCAGGAACAGCAGCCCAAACAGCAACAGCAACAAATACAGCATCAACAACAACAGCAGCAGCAGCAGCAGCAGCAGCAGGAGGTAGCAGCTGCTGCACGAAGGCTTATGATAAAGAGTTATTTACATCGTTCTTAGCAGCAACATCCCGCCTGTTTTGCGATGATGAAGAAATTGTATTGCTAGACTTTCTTGCTGCTGAAGAGAAGGCATTTACAGAGAAAGAGTTAATAGACAGATTAGCTTGGCCAGAAAAACGGGTGAGAGAAGTCTGCGCTGCATTAGAGAGGCTAATGCTTATTCAGAAAGAACCGATGCATAGCAGCAGCAGCAGCAGCAGCAGCAGCAGCAGCAGCAACAATTTCAATAATCCTAGTCATCACCTACATAATGGTGCGACCTCCAGCAGCAGCAGCAGCAGCAGCAGCAGCAGCAGCGCAGTAGGAGAGGCCGCCTCCAGGTTCGTCTGCTGCTGCATCCTTATCTTTTATATTGTATACAATTTTATGTTTATATGTATATATATATTATATTATATGCATTTGTTGTTTGCTGCTGCTCTCTGTATTCTTATTGTTTTGTAGTTTACTTCAGTCGACTGTCTTTACTTCCTGCTCCTGCTGCTGCTGCTGCTGCTGCTGCTGAATGCGCCATGTTGCGTACTTTCTGCTGCTAGTGCTGCTGCTGCCGTTGCTGCTGCTAGTGCTGCAGCAGCAGCAGCAGGATTTGCGGGCTGTTTGCTGCTGCTTGTGTTGCTGCAGCAGCATCATCAATGCCTGTTTGTTTTTGCTGCTGCTGTTGCTGCTGTTGTAAGATTTGTATATAAGTGTGTCATCGATGTATGAATAAATATATTTTTTTTCTTGCTGCCCTATCCCGCAACAACAACAACAACAACAACAACAACAACAACTGTCCCTGCTGCTGCTGCTGCTGTTGCTGTTGCTGCTGCAGCGTGGAAGGTGGCGGGGAGAGCAGCAGCCGCGGGAATGTTATAATAGGTTTAGGAAGTGTAGGCAGTGTTGCTGCTGCTGCTGCTGCTGCTGCTGCTGGTGGCGGTGCTGGCAGCGGGTTTGTATATCGTGTGTCTCCTTACTGCTTAGCTGTTGTACAGTTTCGTTTAGAGCAGATGGAGATAAAGCTGCAGCAGCAGAAGGCAGCAGCAGAAGCAAGAGACGCATTTATTTGTCTCTGCTGCGGTAAGCAGTTTGATTGTCTTGCTGCTCAGCGGCTGCAGCTGGACCCTCACGACGCCACATTCCTATGTCATTGTGGGGCCAAACTCGAACACGAGGTACCTCCTGCTGCTGCTGCTGCTGCTGCTGATGATGATGATGATGATGATGATGATGCTGCTGCTGCTGATCGCGCTGCTGCTGCTGATCGCGCTGCTGATGCTGATGATCGCGCTGCTGCTGCTGCTGCTGCTGATCGCGCTGCTGCTGCTGCTGCTGCTGCTGCTGCTGATCGCGCTGCTGATGCTGATGATCGCGCTGCTGCTGCTGCTGATCTTGATGCTGCTGCTGATCGCGCTGCTGCTGATCGCGCTGCTGCTGCTGCTGATCGCGCTGCTGCTGCTGCTGATCGCGCTGCTGCTGCTGCTGATCGCGCTGCTGATGCTGATGATCGCGATGCTGCTGCTGATCTTGTTGCTGCTGCTGCTGCTGAGGTTACTGTTGCTGCTGCTTTTTTTGCTGCTGATCCTTGTGAAGCTGCTGTTGCAGTAACAGCAGTTTATGCTGTGTGTGGTTCTGGTGCTGCTGCTGCTGCTGCTGCATGCTGAGTATAATGTCTATTTGCATTGTTGATTTGTCTATAATTATAATGCGGCTAACATATAATATATTTACATTTAATTATTTATATATATTTATATATTTATTTACATATATATTTATTTATATATATTAATTTATATTTATTTATTTATTTATTTATTTATTTATTTATCTTTATCTGTAGGACACAAAAGCACATATTAATAATCTAACTTCGCTGCAGCAGCGGCTGCAGCAGCAGCTGCTGCCTCTTCGTAGCTTATTGAAGAAGTGCTGGGGCATGCAAATACCTTCATTTTCACCTGTATCAAGAACAGACAAGACAGAGCAACGAAGGCAGCAGATAAAGCCTATTAAACCTGCTGCTGCTGCTGCTGCTGCTGCTGTGGGTGGGCTTGAGGGGGGCCTCGCAAGCAGCAGCAGCAGCAGCTGCAGCAGCAGCGCGAAGCAACACTTTCATCCTGATACCTGCAGACCTTCAGGTAAGACTTCTTATGTTGCTGCTCTTGCTCCTAGGCTTCTGTTGGTGTTGCTGCTGCTGCTGTTGCTGCTGCTGTTGTTGCTGCATGAACGTGTGTGTGTGCGGCTGTTTGTTGATAGCTGTGTTTGCTGCTGCTGCTGTTTGCTGCTGCTGCTGCAGGGGAAGGTGCTGCAGCAGCTGCTGCTCCTTTCGGGGCTCAAGCAGGGATGCAGCAAGACGAGGCGCAGCAGGGGTCTCTAAGGAGGCCCTCGGCTGCTTCTGCTGCTTCTGCTGCTTCTGCTGCTGCAGCCACATCTGCTGCTGCTGCTGCTTCTGGAGGGAGAAGAGAGCAGATTAAGTTTAGTATGAAGGCGAGCAACAAACCTTCGGTGCGGGGCACCCCAGCCAATAGGCCTGGTACAGCAGCAGCAGCAGCAGCTGCTGCTGCTGCTGCTGCAACTGCAGCAGCCACTGCAACGCCCACAGGCCACAAGACAGCAGCAGCAGCAGCAGCATTAACAGCACCAACAGCAGCAGCAAACACGAAGAACGAAACAGCAGCAGACTTGCAAGCGGCCCGCAGTGTAGCTGCAGCAGAGGGACCTTTCGGCGCAGCAGCAGCAACAGCAGCAACAGCAGCAACAGCAGCAACAGCAGCAGCGACAGCACCGGCAGCAGTGACAGCACCGGCAGCAGCAGCAGCAGCAGCAGCACCGGCAGCAGTGACAGCACCAGCAGCAGCACCAGCACCAGCAGCAGCAGCACCAGCAGCAGCAGCAGCAGCAGCAGCAGCAGAAGAGGCTCCCCGGGTGTATATTTCACGTTTAGGGAGATACTTCTCAATTGAAGAGGCTGTAGAATATCAGCTGGAGATGTCTATAGAAGAGCATGAGGTTCGTCTTATTAATTAATTACTAAATTAATTAATTTATTTATTTATTTTATTTATTTATTTGTTTGCTTCTCTCTCTGTCTCTCTTTGTGTCTTTGCTTGTCTCTGCCTACCCGTCTGTTGCATGCGGCCCTCTGCATTTATCTATTTTTTGTATTTCTTGCTGCTGCTGCTGCTGCAGCTGTAACAGCAACTCGTTCTACTGCTGCTGTTGCCGTTGCAGCAGCAGCAGCAACAGCAGCAGCAGCAGTTTGGTGTGTGTCTGTGCAATTAAATATTTGTCTCTTTTCTTTATTTTGTTTGCTGCTGCAGACGTTCATGGAGCTCCAGTCTACCTATCTTGATGACCTTTGATTGCTGCTGCTGCTGCTGCTGCTGCTGCTGCCGAAGCAGCAGCGAAGCAGCAAGAGCTGCAGCAGCAAAGTAGTAGCAGCAAGAGCACCCGAAGGTGCTGCAGCAAAAGCTGCCCTAACATCAACAGCTGCAACAGCTGCAACAGCTGCAGCAGCACCAGCTGCAGCACCGACTGCAGCAGCCGCTGCAGCAACCGCTGCAGCAGCCTCTGAAGCAGCCTGTGAAGCAGCAGTTGCAGCAGCAACAGCAGCAGCAGCAGCAGCAGCAGCTGCTGCAGCAGTGAACGACTTTTGGCGTGGGGTGTATAGGGAGTTCCTCTTTGTTTTTTACGGTGTACGTGTTGATGCAGCAGCAAATAAATACTAGTTGTTTTATTTATAATACTTATTATTATTAATATTATTAATATTATTAATATTATTATTATCATTATTATTAATTATCATTATTATTATTATTATTATTATATTATTATTATTATTATTACTATTATTAATATTATTATTATTATTAATATCATTATTAATATTATTATTATACTTATTATTATTATTATTATTATTATTATTATTATTTTTATACTTATTATTATTATTATACTTATTATTATTATATTATTATTATTATCTTATAAGGATTTAATGAAGAGTATTTCATTTTTAAGTTAATGACAGACAAAACAAAATAAAAATAAAAATTGCAGCGGAGGAGACGAAGAGAGACAGCAAATGATGTTTATAAAAAATAATAAATAATAAACAACTAATAATAATACAATTAAATAAACAAAGATTAAATAAAAAGCAAATAAAGATTAAATAAATAAATAAATAAATAACTAAATAATAAATAAATAATAAATAAATAGGTATGGGTATAGAGAGATAAATGCGTAAGGCATTTAAGTAGAAAACTAAATAAATAAATAAATAAATAAATAAATAAATAAATAAATAAGTAAATAAATAAATAGGAAGTGAAGAGATTAAAATATATTTGTGTGTATATATATATATATATATATATATAGAGAGAGAGAGAGAGAGAGAGAGAGAGAGATGAAGCGA